AACACACGTTTAAAAAAATGACTTTTAAAATTGATGCATTTTTAAGTAAGTTATGAGCATTCCAAAATTAAAAGTCATGAAAATTCTCCAATTTTCAAAATTCCATAACTCGAAAACGGCTTGCTAAAAAAATTTGAAAAAAATCATGGAAGCAAGTCTGAATTAGTACTAAAAGAAAAAAAATCTCAAAAAAATCGGAGATGCAATTGCAGATGGACTTTCACTTTGGCGTGGAATACATCATATATATATATATGTATATGGGGTAAAATTCTTGTAGCAAACTAAGTGAAAAAAAAGTTGATCGGATCGGGCTGTAACTTTTTTTTTATTTGTAACAAAATATTGAGCCCACGGTCAAATGACCATTAAAGGGAAAATACATTTTAAATTATGTTATGAAGAAAAAATAATCTTATTATATAAAATCTATGTGTATATTAACAAAAATGGAGTATCTCATCTTTCTTCAGACAAACAAAATTAATTAATAAGATCCTAATTTTAATTAGAGATTTATTTATAAACAAAAATAAAATATTTCATCGATCGTACGAATAAAGGAAGAAAAATAAATGATCTAATTTCGATTGCATTCTATTATTTAATGAACTAGATTCTTAACGTCGAGCAATGATTAAAAAATTAAAATGGTCAGTTAAGAATTGCAATGTTTCCGTTAAAATAAAAATATCATATAAATAAAAATCTGGAAAAACTTCAATTTGAGATATTTTCGTATTAAGGCCACGAACATTTTGGTAGTAAAGGTTGAGATCAATGTTTATGTGCTTAGATATTATGTTTGCTGTTGCTTTTTGGTAATAGTTGGAATTCCCTTGATGTAACGGATTACTAGGTCTGTTTCTCCGCTTTCCATCCGTTCCTTCATTATTAATTTTAGGTTTTTGTATGCTTGTTGTTGACGCATAGTTCTGTCTGGAATAAATAAGAGTCCCTGAAGAATTGGTGAATTCGCTAATTTCAGAGACTTCGCCACTGAAAGTATCGTGGACGCCTGAGCCTGAGTCTCGCAGGTAGTAGTAAATAGAGCTGATAAGATTTTGTACACTAGCTTTGTCAAGATCATAGTTATAATTATCGCCATCGTTGAGAAATGCAGGATGACCAAAGATTAATAAATTAGACTTACGTCTTTGAATGTCTTCAAATTCTTGTAAAATAGAATTTGTGGGATCAACATTTGCATCTATCAACGATTCCAATGTACTAACACGGCCCTGAACAGAAGTTAATTCATTTTCAACAGTATCAACTTCACCTTCAACATTAGCCAACAATCAACTTTGAGTTCGGATAATGATGACTCAAGCCGACTCATTCCATTTTTTGTGTCCTTAAAAAGAGTTGAGATTTGTTGAGAAATTTGATGAAAAAGGTTACTGGTGTCCGTAGGATAAGAGAAAACGTTTGCCTGCGTCCCTGAAGCTGATGAAGTAGGCGAGGGAGAGATAGTTGGAGATTTATCAGGGCCGCAGCACTTTGAAAAACCACCATTTAAAGTTTTTTTGTTTTATCAGCACAACAAGGGTGATAATTAGCAGAACACACAGGCAAGACACGGGGCTCACTACTTTTTTTTGCACCACCTACAAGACTGGGGGTCGGTCAAACTCAAAGTATTTAGCATAGTGTTCATTATCAAAGTAGTCTATATAACGAATCAATGTTTGTAGACAGATAATACTTTAGCACGTGGAAACGCAAATTATAATAAAAAAATTGATGTGACCAATAGAAAATGTTGTTAATATTTCTCACATAGGAAACTTTACTTCACATAACATATTTTGAACATGTTTTTATAAAAAACAAACGTCGATTTGCACATAGTTTAGCCCTAAGGGTGAATAATTTAACCACGAAGTATTGTTAGGTTTTTTCAAAAACTGTCGAAAAGGGAGGGTGTTGAATTTTTTTAAAAAATTTAATCAGTGAATATTTGAAGACTTGTACCTTTTAAACAGAAAGAAGAAGAAAAGTTTGTTCTATATGTTTTCGAAAGGTTTTTTCTTGCTCTTTCAAATGGTGCAAAAAAATTTGCAAAAAATTCAAATTTTGACCTTTTTTTGCAAATTAAACATTTTGAAAGCAAAAAATGTGTATTTTCACCACAAAAAATATTGAAATGTTTTTTTTGTACATAATTTTCGAGATATTAATTAATTAATTAATTATTGTTAATAAAAAATGAAATATTTCACAAATAAAAAAAGTTATTGCAATCCTGTAGGTACCAATTGAAAGCTGACGTTATTCCGCATCCAACAAGCCCTATATGGACTATTTTAGATTAGAGGATTTTCTATAAACAATTGCCATGTTAGCCAATTGTTGATTAACAATCCACTAACCCAAAGTACTTCATATAAGGCTCGTTGGATGCGGAATTTTCTCAACTTTCACTTAGTAACGTCAGAATTACGATAACTTTGTTTGTTTATAAAATATATCATTCTTTATTAACCTTAATAGTTAATTAATTAACTAAAAATTGTAAATATTATATGAGTAAATAAAAAAAATTTTAACATCCATGTTTTCTAAAGGTTTTTTTGTGCTCTTTCGATTGGTGAAAAAAAATAAAAAAATTCAAAATGTGACCCTTTTTGTGACCTTTCTAATTTATCATTTAGTTCGCCTGAAATATCGCCATAAACAGGACAGCAATAATCAAAAAATGGAAATATTAACGATTTAACCAACAATATATGAGTTGATATTGGGAGAGAATCTCTATTTCTGTGCAATTGTTGGAGAACCATAAACACTTTACGAGATATATTGTATACATGCTGTCTCCAAGACAAACCCCTATCTAGGATCATTCCAAGATCCTTTACCTCCATTTTATAAGCTATAGGCGTTCCATCAACTGTAAGAGGAGGTAAAGTTGATAAAGTATTCAAAGATGGATTGCTACCAGCCGCAAACACCATTGCCTGAGTTTTATCCAAATTAAGTGCTGGGCCATTATCTCTACCCCATGCAACCACATAATCAATGTCCAACTGTATCTTTCTAATCAATTCACATAACGATAACAATGGGCCTGACAAATAGAACTTAAAATCATCAGCATACTTATGATAGTTACTAAATTTAAGATTTTCACTCAGATCAGTTATGAACAAATTAAAGAGAATAGAGGAGAGTGATGAACCCTGAGGGACACCACATTTAAGTCTATCCTATTCAGAGTAATCTCCATTATTATCGATCACTCTCTGATACCTGTATTCTATGTAAGACTTAAACCACTTACAAACAGATTTCGATAATTTAAAAAGTCGTAATTTTTTAATTTAAATTCTATGGTCTACTGACGGAAATGCTTTGGAAAAATCAAAAAAGACTACTATGGTAATATATTTCATATCCATTGCTAATTTTACATCATTAGTAAATTTTAATAAAGCTGTACAAGTGCTATGTTCAGAGCGAAAGCCTGATTGCAGTGGTTCAAGTAGATTATTGTCAGTTATAAAGGATGTCATTTGTGTACATACTGTTCTTTCAAGAGGTTTAGCCATAGCACAAGCAATTGAGATTTGTCGAAAGTCAGACGGTTTTTTGGGGTTAGGAAATTTAGGAACAGGTTTAATAAAGCTTGTTTTACACTCTTTAGGGTAAATTCCTGTTTGTAGAGAATAGTTACAGATATGTAGAAAAGGTTGAAAAATAATTGGCAGAGCAAGTTTAATCATCTTTATAGAAATACAATCAGGGCGCATTACGTTAGTCTTAATATGATGTATATTTTCAAGTAAGGTTTTAGGACAGATATCACTAAAGAAAAAATTATTTTCATTAAAGATATCATTATTTAAATTTATGTGTATATTATTATAAGATGAAAATTGACGAAGTGGTGTAACGGAAAAAACATCTAAAAATTCGTGTGCCTGAAAGCAGTGATCCGAAGTTTTCTTTTTATCAGGAATAATATTAAGTCTTTTTAAAATGCGCCATATGTCTTCCGATTTCGTTTTTTTATCATGTTATAATTATATTTATTATGAGCATCTCTAATCTTGGTTTGGACCAAATTGCGACGTTTCTTAAAATTGGAGAATCTTCTTCGCCTGCTCAAATCATGAGTGGGTGCAAAAACATCAAAGGCAGCCGTTAAGTATGAGGTTAACTTGTAAACTTTTACATTTATATCATGCTTACTGTAAATACTTGCCCAATTATACGTCGATAAATGCAATAAAAACTCTCGCTCAGGAATACTATTAAGGTTGCGAAAAAGAGATAATTGAGAATTGTTTTGTATTGGCGTATTTTCAGCCATAAATTTTATGTTTATTAAATAGTGATTTGATAAAAAAAGGCATTGGAAATTGATTATGAGAAATCACCTTATCTAGATCACTAACAATCAATAAAAAATAATTTGTTAATAAACAATACACAAAAAAATTCAACCCTCTCCCTCTTCGACAGTTTTTGAAAAAACCTAACAATACTTCGTGGTTAAATTACTCACCCCTAGGGTTAAACTATGTGCAAGTTACATCCCGATCTGATCAACTTTATTTCACTTAGTTCGCTACAGGAATTTTACCCCATATATATTATATAATAAAGAACTCATACATGTATGATCCACATTTCTCTGTGTATATTTCTGCAACAGATACATAAAACTGATAATATTACAGTTAGAACAAATCGCTGCAGAACCTACATTAGAAAACATTATCTAAAACATTTGTTATGTTATATTTCTGTAACAAATAAAAACCACTTTATTCTTATTTTTTAGAATCTTGAACTTGTATTAGTATATCATAGAATATATTAAACATGTGTTTGTAGGGTAATAATAATAAAATACTATTCATTGATTTTTTGTAAAAAAAATATAATTGCAGTGACTAACAAGAAGAGTGTGATGCATTCTGATCTTAAAGAACCTTTTGCTTTGTCTACGTTTAACGTAAATTAAGAAGAACATAGATATTATTAATCACCTGAGGGTAATCGCCATCTTTCGTTTGATAATCAAATACGTAGAAATAAGTTTTCGGCACTGGTTCCTTATCAGTTTCAAGTAATTGCAGTGAGTGCGGTGAATTTAACTTTTTCGTATGCCTTAATGTAAATAAATCTCCCATTTGTACCAATGGTGCCACATATTGAGCGTCACTTAAAGCTTGCACGCAGGAATCTCTTATATTCACAGGATGCTGCACAGTTCTTTCCCAGTCAGTATACTCATTAACAATCTAAAAGAAAAAAGTAATGCTTTACAATTATGTAAGGAAAATAAATGATAATAGTACACTAAACCCGCGATCACGGGACGGCTGCAAGAAAACTGGAATAAGGAGGTATAACTCAGTTAGCGGAGGTAGGGGAGACCGAGGAGGAAAGTAACAAAAACTAGTTTTTTTATGCTAGCGTTAAAAATATTTCTCTGATAAATTTGTCCAAAATATTAAATGAAAGCTTGGACATTCACCTATTAAGTAAAATTTGAATTAAACATTACTATAATAATCTCAGAATTCTTTCATTCGTTCATTCTGTCCGGGCTTGATCAGCTGTGAAGTATAGTTTTATATGACTCTTCTTAGATAGAAAGAGAAAAGAAAAAAGGCGTTATAGTTCGGCAGTAAGAATTTGCTATTGGTATAGGGAGGAGCTAAGGTACGTTTCATGTTGTTTCGGGCGATCATCGATTGCGTCCTTATGGGGAAGTTGTATACCCCTACTCTACCGGCCGGGCCATAAACCCGAAGTTCGAGGGACGCATGCACTGAGGGGGGGCCTGAGCGGCGTTCTTGGGTCTAATAACATTCTCTATTTATGGCCCGTAATGAGTTTTTCTCGAAAATTATAAAATTTTTAAATATTGACATTTTTAATTCCAACAATATATGCTCGATATAGTGAAATTTCGAGGAATAAGACTATGATAAAAAAAATTGTTAATATTTAATAATATTATAATTTTCGTGAAAAATTTTTTTCAGAAAATGTTTTTTATACTTATGATTTTCATTTGTAATTCCAAATGAAAATATATTTTCGTTATAAATTGTTTTTTGTTACGGAGTTCATTTAATTTTTATTTCTTTAAATAATTAATTCTTTGTTTAAATTAAAGAAAAGTGTTAAATTGTTCTTGTAAAGAACAAAGATAAAAACAATTTGAAAAGAATTTAGGTGACAAATGACTTAAAAATTAAATTTTAGAGTAGGTTTATTATTTAAAAAGGAATTATTTTTCCTGAAACAATTTTTTCGAACACGAAAACTAATTGTGGTGATTTATTTTATTAAGAAAAGATTTTTTAAGGAAGTCATTTTCATAAAAAACAATGTCAAATTCAGAAAGAAAAGGTTGCTTAAGTGCTCTAGATTTTTGCAATATAGATACTGAAGGAGAAATAATAAATGATATCCATATTAATGAATTTGCACAACTATTGCAAAGAGTATCACTATCAGTTTTCGATATTCAAACTCTTTGTATTTGCAAATTCTTGATTTAATTATTCCGATTAACAGAAATCAAAACCATATTCAAATACTATTTAGTATTTTTTAATTAATTAAGACTTTATATTTATGATAGTCTTAATAAAGGTTGTTTAAATGAGGATAAAATAAAATGTTTAGAAAGATTATGTCCCTTTAAACCAACCGTAGTTTTTGCAAAAGTTCATCAACAACCGAATGGTGTTGTTTGTGGACTATATGCAATAGCATTTGCAACATCTTTATATTTTAATATAATGCCGAATTCTCTTGTAGGATGTTAAATACAATAAACACGAGAAAACAAGTAACAGTCAAAAATATAAATTTATTCAGGTAAAAGCGATCAATTAAAATATTCAGTTCGTCAAGATTAAAAGATTAAAATAGTGTTATTACGAGAGCGGCGAGCTACCAACTAAATTCTCTCATTCCTCGTTCTTACAATCGTTTCCTTATCGGAGACCTACGTCACACACCGAAACCAACCGAAGGACAAGGGACCCTCCCATTACGTCCCACCACACTCGGCCGTCCTGACAATATCGTCTGCCCCCAGACGATCCTATTCCCCGCTCGTACTTGCCCATGGTTTCATGTTGTCCACTGAGGTCGACGTTGATCGTGGTCCCTCTCCTTGCCCTATCTTCTCCACCAAGTATCTGTCATTTCTCAAGACCTGCGTAATTCTGTACGGCCCAAAGAATTTTGCACAGAATTTTAATACTGGTCTCTGCTGCGTTCGTCGAATTTCCACCCAATCATTTTCTTCATAGCGACTTGCTTGTTTGCGTTTCTTGTCATATGCTTTATTGTTTTCTAATTGCACTTTTGCAGCTCAAAAAACAAAGAAATTAGAGCATCAGTTACAAAAACAAAGGAAAGAAAATTCGCCAATTCCTTGTACGTCTTCCTCACTGAGGCGAATTTTCTTTCCTTTGTTTTTGTAATTGAGGCTCTAATTTCTTTGTTTTTTGAGTTGTTTTTGTTTGATCAACACTACGGATTTTCATTTTTCTAGGACCTCGTTGATCAAGAAGAAAGGTACGTTTGAGAGTAGGAACTTTCTTTTCCTTAGGACATTTACAATCATTAAAATCGGAGCATTTACATGACGCAAGACCAAAAGCTTGCGGGCTGCATCCCTAAACTCATCAGCCTTACTTTGTAGTCCTGGACACCTATCAAGATGTCTTATCTTATTTTTTAACTTTATATACTTATTGTGATATGCATTTAACATTTGAATAACACGAGTATGAGACACAATAGGGATTGTAGCCTTTTCGTACAAGGATTCAATTTTTATAGCAACAACATCTGCAATGGCAGCAAATGTTGGCTCTTTTTTCACGCCACTTTCTAGTCCCATACTGCGCCGTACGTCAAAACAACATTTTATGACTTCTTCGTATGTAGGAAGCTGTGATTCAAGTAAATCTTTTGGCGAGCCAAAGATCGGGCAAGTAACTGCTTGTCGTGAAGAATATTTCCACAATTCCATTTTGTCAAAAAAATGAATTATGGATCATTTCTTCAGTAGAAAAACAATAGAAGTATACACAAGATCAAATGGGAATAAGAAACCGAAAATGTAGTAATATAAAACAAAACAATATGTACAAGACTTAAATAAAACCTTCTTTTCTCTAAAGAAAGGAGAAAGAGATGTCACTAAAATCTACAATAAAATAACTGTGAATGAGAATAACAGTAAAAAGCTAGGAAGTAACTTATAATGAATTAAAAAGGTTTTATGTTACAAAAAGATTGTGTTGTAACCGCCCTAATAAGTGCGCGTGTTTGTGTGTATGCAACAGAGAGAGAAAGAGTATACGACGGTCCAGCATCTTTTATTACCAAAATTGCAAATTTTCAAACCCAGGTTTGAGACAGAAAATATTGTCCAATCAAGATGAAATTTGGTATACGCACTGCTGGCATGAGTGAGCAAATTTTGCGTGCTATTAGAATTTTATCAGAAAAAAAAAGTTTTTTCGATCCACCCTAGTGTGTATGTGTGTGGATCCCTTTTTTGTTTAGAAGATAACTTTAACAGGTTTCAATGGATTTAGATAAAATTTGGTAGGCTTATTTATCATATTATTAGCTCAAATCTGACCAAAGGATTTTGAAAAATACCCAAAAAAAAAATTTTATCATCTTTTTTCCAAAAAATTTTTTTTAATCGAAAAAATTTTTAAATAGAAAAATTTAAGGTTATATATGTCGACAGTATGAAGTATGAGTGTGTATTGTAAAGAGTGGGGACTATTGCACAGTCCTTTAAAACTAATGCATAAGCAGGTGTGGTCAGATTAATTAGTCGCTACTCAAAGTGATAGCACGGTTAGTAAATTGTCTTCCAAAAAGACTCAGTGAAGCTTTGGAAGGATTGATTATCTCCAAGTTTTTGTACTTTGCTTGTTAAATTAATAAAGTAGAGTTTGTTCTCAGTTGAGTAACCAACTCACAAAAATAATATTATTAGTTGTTTCTTACGGTGACAACATAATTGGTGGCAGGGGTGAAATATTTAAAATTATTTAGAAGTTCATCCAAGTTTTAAATATCCAGAACCAAGAACTAGTTCCAGATAAACAAAGTGATAATTCAAAGTGAACGAGAGAAACAACAAAAGAGATATCCAGAGAGTTATCCAGATCTACAAAGACGTATCCAGAGAGTTATCCAGTTCTACGAAGTGTTATCCAGAGTGTTAACCAAGCAGCGATCCAGATATCCATATCTACGAAGTGTTAGCCAAGCAGCGATACAGATATCCAGGTCTACAGAGAGGTATCCAGAGAGTTATCCAAGTATACGAAACAGAATTCGAGATTTTCCAGTACTACGATCCAGACCAACATTCAAAAGCAACATTGAAGTAAGGTATATAAAACAAAACTACGAATCTTTAGAACAAGAGTATAAGTCTACTTTACGTACGTTGAACGGCGACCTTCATAGGGTCTGGCTAAGTTTGTTTTAAAGCGTTGGTATACTCCGTGATTTTATCAGTATTTCCATCGTCAATAAACAAAAAAAAACAAATTTCATATTCTTGTGTACTCCTTGTAGCAGGATTGCAAGAAATGAAATTTTAAATTAGAAAACGCGAACGGTTATAAAATAAAATTGTACGAAACGATATAGGAAATTTATTAAATCAAACTGGATTTAAATTCATTTAGAGAAAGTAGGGAAAACGAAACTATAGACACAGACAGTTCATCCCCTTCAATATCACTGACTGACAGGCTTAAATTAAACAATATTCTAAAAATCATGCCAGAAACATCAACAAGTTCAAATGACCTTTTTCAAACAATTCTTGCAAAATTGGAAAGATTTGAAACAAGATTGTTAGCTATGGAACAACCAGTTAGAAGAGAGTTAGGTTTACCCTTAAATGAGAATGAATTAAACAGCGATCATGAAGAATTAGAAGAAGTTACAGAATATGATTTTGGAAAAAGTATAAAATTAATACCAGAATTTAACGGGAGCGGTTTAGAAAACTTCATTCATTTAATAAGATTGTCCAAAAAGAAAACAAAAAGAAATTAAAGACTAACATTACTTCATGCAATAATTGCACAAAAATTAGTAGGAAAAGCGGCAAACACAATTAGAGCCGATGCAGTTAAAACATTTGCTGTTTTTTTTGAAAGATTACGAATTTTATTTGGAGAAAAGGATAGTTTAGAATCACTTCAAAGGGCTCGCGATTCATGTATAA